TCACATTGCCGATCTTGTATAAACCGTAGACAAGGACCTTTAGAACAACCCTCATGTAGAAGTTGCCTCCAGGTGTCGACTGCCTCCGGAACCGTCAGTCCCGCCGGTGCCGCCGGGTCCACCGGCCTGGATGCCCTCGGGACCACCCGACTGCAGCGGGCCTCTCCTGATGCCGCCTGGTTTGTACGCGATCCACTGCTCTCTGCGGCATTGCTGCGAGTCCATGCCCTCCTCGGCGCCGGCTCCAAGACTCTCGTGCTTGTGGTCACGATCTCTCTTTCACGCCTTGTGCCATCACCATGCTCCGCGCCGTGCGAGCTCCGGCCCCTGCGCACTGGCGATCTGGATCTACGCGGCTTCCCACCCGCCATGAGCTCCACCGCGTCGTCCTCTTCCTCGTTTGCAGGCACATGCCCTACCCCGCGGTCTGTATTGCCACCCACCATGAGCTCCACCGCGTCGTCCTTTTCCTGGTCTGCAGGCGCATGCCTGACAAAGCGGTCCTGACTTCCCGAGCTGCCTCCAGATTGGTGTGGCGGCAGCCCCAGCTCAGCCGATTCCTCCTGCTGTCGCCTCTTTCTGAAAGCCAGGCGCTCCCTGTACTCCAGGATCCCTCTGTTCTTGAGCGCAGAGCAGGCTTCAATCTCCTCCAGGGTGCCGTCCAACCAGCCTTGCATGTCCTCGTCCAGCTCGTAGTTCCCGGGGTCCGGCACTCGGTGCGAGAACTTGTCCAAAATCCCTTTCAGCATAGCTTCCACCCACTTCCGCGAGGCTGTCTCCGTGGTATCAGGCACAGCGTTAAAATGCCTGAGGATGGTTCTCGCCGCTTGGCAAGCTTCCCCTGCCTCGCCATTTCTCACCATGTTGGTGAGCATCATCTCAATGTCCGCCTGCAGGGCCACTGTTCGGGTTCTCCAGGCCACACTCGGTTCGTCGTAGTATTCCTCCCACGTTTTGCAGAGTTGTGTCTGCACCACACTCATGGCATCGTCTTCCCAGATCGACGAGGTCGCCATGGACGAGCTCTCAGTACTGCCCGAGGATTCGTCACTGGGTTCCTCCACCGGTGGCTCCCAGCCTGGAGGGGCATTGACTGGCCTCGGAGGCGGCGGGCCCCGCGGAGGGTGTAGTACCACATTTTGACGTGCAGCGGGGTCTGCACGTATTGGTCCCAGAGCATGTCCACCATTTCCGCCATCCACATAGTGTCCATCTCCATCCCTTCCGGCAGGTGAACCACCGTTCCCGTCCCCACGGGTTCGTCCCAGATTTCCCGAACAGCCTGGTTGAAGAAAACTTGAAACCCATCACTGCCGTAGCTGTTCACTGCCCGGAGAATGCCTTGGCGAAGGAGACCCCGTCGTTGCCGCTTGAGGAGCTCGCGGACCTTGCGGAGCTCGAGCTTGACTCGGGCCTGGCCTTCAGTCAACCCTCCATCTGCCCTTCCTTGCATAAGCCATGTCAAATCGTGTTGCATCGGGCCCCCGGTCGGCCACACCGCCCCGATGTCCCGAATCGCGAGCTCGGGGAAGACCTGGGCCTCCACTTCCCGCCGAGCTCGATCACAAACCACGGAATCATGGCCTTGCCGACCGTCTCCGTCCCACTCTCCCGGGTCACTTCGAGGATGCCCTGTACCTTCCAGACTTTGGCCTTGTTGTGCCCAGTCCGACAGGCCCGTCTTAAACTCCTGAATCGCACTCTCGTGGAACCCATGGGCCTCCGGCTCTCGCCGAGCTCGGTCATCTTCTCCGGAATCATGTAAAAGGCGACGCCCTCGGTCACATACTTCTGGGTCGCCGGGAAGTCGCAGTTCGCCTCCCAGCTCTTCGAATTCTTTTTGAAAATCGCCCGCAGACACGTCTACAGGGGTACCTTCGCATATGTAGGGGGCCACAAGCCCCAGCAGAAAAGAAAAAGTTCCCCAGCCAGGCACCAAGCGAGCCATGGCTGAGCACGAAGACAGTCGCGGGACCCTGTGTTTGTAGGTCACGAGCCGCAACTGCAGATCCAGCCAATCTTGTTGAGCAGCCAGTCATGCATAAAACCCTACCCTGTCTCTCATTGCCAATTCAAGAGTTGATATTGCCGACCATGTGTCCATGGAACATCCATGTTGTCTACAAAGATCTGCTCTCTGCTCTGCCACTGCACTCTGTGTTGAGCAAGAACCCTCCAACTGCCCCCTGCGGCACGATCCATCACCCTTTCCATGTTCATCAACCTCGGATAGTGGTGCGTGTGCTGCAACCCGTCTGTCTTTCTCTGTTCAGCCTCCCACCACGACAACGTACGAAATGCATCGACGTGCGAGCTAATGGGAGGGACATCACGCAACAACCCTCTCGCGCGGTGCCCTGAATACCGCCACCACTTTCTTAACCAGGATGTCCCCCAGCGTTCCAGTCCAGCCCCATGAATCGCTGATCTCGCCGCCCTGTGCGACCTCTTATTGTAGGCTTCCCAAGATTCATCCTTGCGCTTGCCCAACCGCATTGCCCACGAGGTAATAAGCTGTTGTGTGGAGTTCAACAAACCCATCGCCCCTTTATCCGGCGGTAGTGCCGACAAGCACCATAAAGCGGAAGCTCCGACAACTCGCTCGATGATCCGAAGTCGCCCTTTAAGAGGAGTTTTCGAGCAGAAGATGTGTCTTGTGGCCCAAAATTTCGCTTTGGCACGAGTTATCAAGGGACCAACCAGTTCGCATGCACTCATCCCCACACGCATTTGCAACCCCATCACCTCCATCTCTTCAACTGCATCAACCCTGACCCCTGCAATGTGGATGAACTTCGGCCCATTCCAATGTGGGGAGACCAGAAGCTGACACTTCGACCCGTTCAACTGGAGACCAAATTCAGACAGGACAACCATGAATTGGCGAATGCGAGTTTCCAGGCCTTCAGTCCCTCTCCCCCAAAGCAGGGAGTCGTCCATATACAACATTTCTTGATGTGGGCTCCCTTCAAAAGCCTGTTCCTGTTTATGCCATTGGTAGCGCCGGGCTGTTTCAGTAAGACATAGCTCGGAGATGAGCGCGAAGAACAGGGGGCTCTCTATAGCCCCTTGCTTAATTCCACGCTGTTGCATAACGGAAGATGTCCCCCAAGGTGTTTGAAGCGTACTATAGTTTTGTTGAAGCAGACCACGCCAGCATTCGAGTTCAGCTGATTCGCCGAGGCGACTCGTCAAGTACTCCAGTACCTTGTTACGGTCAATAGCATCGAAAGCTTTGGCTATGTCCAACTTGGCAAAACAAACTCCTCTTCTCCATTCCCGTTCTAGTTCAAGCATTCTCCAAATGGTAAAGATATAATCTGCCGTTTGCCGTCCCCTTCCCGAGCACTGACTGTGCGACGTCAAGTCAATGGCACGGAGCGCACGATTCAGCAACAGACGCGAGAACAATTTGGAAACTCCTGAACTCATCGAAATTGGCCCTAGGTCCTTCGGCTGTAGAGGCTGCTTAAGCTTCGGTAAGAGCACCATGAGCGGGGTATTCCATTGTTCTGGAATACTTTGGGTTACCAAGACCCTCGTGAAAAACTCCAGGAGGTGCTGTTTGCCCCCTTCCACAGAGCATAGACCCATCAAGAGCTCTTTGGATGTACCATCCCCACCCACTGCCTTACCAGACTGTAGCTGCCCCAGCGCCTGATCCAGTTCCTCTTCCGTAAAAGCCGCGACTTCCCCTTTGAAAACCCTTTGCTGTGGCCGTGGTGGAATCCCTTTGTATACGCCCGTGAGGTGTTCATGAACGGCTCGGTGCGGGTCACCATGTTGTGCTTCTGCGAAACCCTCAGCCCAGCCAGTGTCCGCTTTCTTCCTGGCACCCCGAAGTGCTGCCCAGTCCCCAACGGAGGCCCTCTCAAGCCGCCTGTTTTCCCACTCTTTACGAGCCGCCTTGCGAAGTCGCCGGACCCGATTCCACGCCTCATTGGTCTTCAGGAGCCTAGCGCGACAGGCCGCTTGTCTGACCTCCAGCGGATCCTTATAAGCTTCCCCACGTTTGGTCCGAGTGCACTCCCTGCTCAGCCTTTCCAATTCCTGCTGATCGATATGTGTGATACGGTCAACCCCACCCTTCCACACACGCGGCCTGGTAGAGTGTCGCACGTGCTGCTTCTTGCTAGGAGCAGTGAAGGTAGCTTCCAAAATCTCGTGATCAGTACCAAGAACCTGAAAAGACCCCTGGTGTACCCACATGTGACTGCACCCAAGACGACTGCACGCGACCATGTCGATGATGTTACCTTTACGCCCCTCCTGTCTCGGCCTACTCGTGGGGATACGAAACTGTTGAGGTCGCGGGGTCACCATCCGCAAAGCTCTCCGCATCAAAAGACCCTGTATGTAGTTCGACTTGGCATCACGCCCCACCGCATGAATTTCGCCGTCATCTTCACACCATCGGATGGGTGCATTTGCGTCGCATTGAAAGACCACCGAGGAAGCAGTTTTGGGAAGGCATTCGAAAACTTGTTCCACCTCCTGTTCGTACTGTGCAAGTGTACACCCCGGCGTAAAATGCGCAGACCCCACCCACACAACCACTCCCCATGTCAAGTGTTGTAGTCGCAGCCAAACCCCTTTGTTGGATCGTACCCTTCTCTGCACTGTCCACTCAATCTCTCTGTATGCAATCCCCGGGCCCCTCCAGACCCCTTCGGCACGATGACTGACAATGCTCCACTGACCAGACTTTTGCTTCGCCCAGCCCGGCTCTCCTCTTGGCAGCTCCTGCAAGGTCAGCAGTGCATCCTCCGGAAGGCTCGCGTTACAGCCCTCCCTGAAGTGCTCACTCAAATCGGCAATATCACATCCACCGACGTTCCAACCAAATACCTTGAATTTGAATTCACCCAAAGGTTCTGTACACCCTTGTTGCAAAGGAGGTGGAGAAGCCCTTAACGAAGCATCATTCGATGATCTCGGCTCCCCGTCGTGAAACTTCTGTTGCACCCGCCCGAGTCAGTGCTTGTGATCCGCAATAGCGCTCTGCACTGCATCGACAGGCTTCTGCAGGAACTGCGCCAGCATCCGAACGTTGATCCAATGCTTCCGGGCCGAGTCCTCATCCACAACCACCCCTCTCATATCCGTACCTGGAGGGACCGGTAGGCAAGCACTTGCGAGCATGCCTTCGTCACACCAGGTGGTGCCTGTCTTGTACTCGTAGTCGAGGAGCCCTGTGGTGTCATGCACAAAGACGCCAACCACCTTTTTAATAAGGCTGGAGTGACTCGCGATGATCCGCTGTTCCGGGCTCTTGGAGAAGTTGCACCAGAGCTTTGCACCTGTCCGTGTAAGCACTTGCGTGGCGCTGAAGGCCTGAACAAAGGTAAACATGCGGTCCCGGTGAGCTTGCTCAGATTCCCCGGATCGTTTGGGCATGGGAAGAAGAGCGATGCTGCGCCTTGGCCCCGTGCAAAAGGGCTCAGTGTCGTACTTCCCCTCAAGCTTGAGACCCCGAAGAGCTTCTTGAAGATCCGTCAAAATCAAACCCCTTCTTGAGTCCTTAGGCCATCCCCCTATGACCAAAGTGCTGCGTCTCTTCTCCTCACTGAGGTCATTGCTTCGCCCTTCGCGACCACCTCCCCCGGCAAGGCGCTCCGTGACCTGCTTAAGCCCCTGCTCCAGAGCCTCAATCCTGGCATCCGACTCCGAGTGCTTGGGCTCCAAGTTCGCGATCTGCTCCTGCACCTCCGCGACCTTCGTTAAGGTTCGACTCTCCAAGTCGCCGATGGCTTTGTCCAACTGAGCCTGCTGTTTTCCCAGCAGGTCATAGCTCTGCTCACGGAGCATTTCCCTCAAGCTTTCAGTCTCCAAGGTGATCTGCTTCGGATGAGAGGCTTCACCCCTGCCACGCTTGCCGCCGCCATCTTCAGGTGCACCCTGAGTAGCCCGCTTGCCTGTGGGGGACTCCAAGAGCTCATGATCATCGCTCGGCCCACAGGGCACAGGGATCGCTTCTCCAAGTCGAAGCGTCTGCTTGTTCCCCCCTTTGTGCTCGCGCCCAGCCATGACTCCGCTCCTCCGAAGCTGCCCCGAACCAGTTCCTCTCGAGAAACCGTGGAAGTAGAGCGGAAGCAGGTAATCGAGAAACCCCCGGGCTTTCACGACCCGCTAGCTCCGCGAGCGAGTTCAGGATCAGGCCACCGTCGCTCAACCCCTGGGTGTGCTCGCAATCAGGCAGCCGCACAAAAGACGGGACGACGGGGGGCGATTCACCACTGAAAGCCTCTCTAAGCTTGAGCCTTGGCTTGAGCCAAAATGGCTAGTTAGGGTTTAGGGTTTAGGGTTTAAGATTGTATGCAGCTTGTCTTGTTCTGTGCGAAGCTTGTTCAAGTATCTTCCTATAAATCCCGGATTCACCAAGGCCTGGAACCGCAGAACCTGGAAAGCCTCTCCAAAACCCTAACATACCTCAACCCCTCCGTCCCAACAAAAAAAAAAGCGTCAGCCCCAAGCTCGGATCCTGAACACCCCAAGAGCGGTTGTATCCGGAATGCTTTTTAAATGTTCGAAGATCCAACGCCTTCAAAGAGGTCTGGGTTCCGGCACATCCAAGACCTCAGCCAAACAGATCCAGGTGAAAGGCATCAGGGCTTTGGGGTAATGGGATCTTCGTGCCTGAAGGTCTAAAAATTTGGAACATTTTGAGGGGTGGAATGCAGCGGATGGGCGGGGTTCATGCACCTCACCGTACCGCACCCTGAACTGCTTGATATCACTCTACCAGTCTGCCAGAAAGTTGACTTCTGTCGAAGGCCATAACGGCATTTCCAAGCGTGTGCTCTGATGGGGCGTCGGCCACGGTGGTGAAAGTGACGTCCGACTCCTGCAAAAGCTTCTAAGCATTGGAGAGAACCGTGACAGCATGCAGCTAGACCTTCGCGCGTGCATGGTGCTTGACGTAGGGCAATAGCCATTTCCCAACCATTAGCATGACTGCCGAGGTCACAATGCAACTCAGCAGACTGTTCGTGGTCGCAGACAGTCCTTCTGGCCCCTAAAGTAATCTTCAGATTGAAGTTCAAAGAAGGACGTGCCTCGTTGTCGGCGGTTTTCGAGGACTCCGCCCGCTCCTGGCAGGGATTGGGCGACGAACGTCGGAATAGGGGCCGGGTAGGGGTTCGAGCTTCGAACCAGATTTGGAATGACATTGTTGGAAAGGTTCGGGATGAATCCTGAGGGGCCCCACTTTGTAGTGTCCATGACAGTGTTGCCTGCTTTCCTAAAGCCCGCTGTCGGCAAGTAGATGTGATAAGCTCAGCACAAGTCTCCTGCATACAAGACATCATGCCTGCGTCAGGATATTCAAGACATCGAAAAATCATACAGCACCGCCGCAAGGGCCGCAAGGGTAAGGTTTCTCGGAAACGGTGTGTGCGCTTAATTAGTTTATAGCTTAAGGTCCTGTCTGGATCCAACATAGGGATCTTAAGGGTTCTGGTGTGTATCGTAGTATGTGTAATTTACCATCAGGAACCCTGAGCAATAGTATTGGTAACACCTTGAAGCCCAAGCTGTGTTTACAGCTACGATTTCAGGCAACTTCTTAGCCCCAAGCCCGAAAAAACTAGGGGAATTTTTATGACCTCTAGAAATGATGTGGGCACTCGAAGTCCAAATTCACATCCTCCGGAGTGGCAGGTGTTCTCTCGCAGCTCCGTCTGGAAGAGACCTGCCGCTACATCAACGGCTGCTGCAGGTGGCGGTTGAAGGAGATGGGGCGCTTATGAGGCCTGCAAACAACCCGAACCTTTCACCTCTAAAATCTAAACCCCAAAAACCCTCAACCTTGAGATCAAGAGCTCTTATTAAAAGCCCGTAGCCTTAGACACTAAGCCGAGAAATCAATGCTTCCAGCACGGCTGAGACCGACCCGCTGCACTTCGCAGGCTCGATGTGGGTTCTCTTGACTTCTTAAACATATCTGTGCAGTTGTTTCTTCATAGAGTTTAGGTGTTTAGGGTTTAGGTGTTTGGGGCTGTCAGGTTTTAGGGTTGAAGAGTTTCGCGGCGAAACGTCCAGAGGTCTTTCAGAGGGCGGAGGCTTTGAGCTGTGCGGCCTGAAAGGCTTTATTTACGCTGAAAATTGCACAGCGCAGGCGCTCAAACCAAGACCACGTGGAGATTGGTAGGTTCCTGGATCGGAGGATGCGGTGTTTGAACTTGCTATGTTCGGTTCGTAGCTGCACCAAGAGCAAGACGTGAAATGCCCAAGTTGACTGGCTTGAGAAGGAAAACAGAGGAAGCCGGCCGCCGTGGGCCTCTGGGTTTTGCAGATCAAGGTTCCAACAGACTGCTTCTAGGTGTGTTTCTAGTGGTTCTAGTGGTTAAAGCCATGCATCACGATGCTTACATTAACAAGGATGATGGCGATGATGATGATGATGATGAAGATGATGATGATGGTGGTGGTGTGAGAGTGATGACCGTGATGATGGTGGTGACTAGTGTGATCAGCTCTTTTCCCTTGTCCTTGCTAGCACTCATTATTGTTCGCAGCCGCAATCGCCTAAACCCTAAACCCTTATACTGATGCCAGGCCTCAGCCTCGCGCTTGCCTGGGAGGCTCGGGAGGCTGTCGCTTGTGAAGGGCACAGCTGTATCGACGGTCCTTTAAAGGTTTAGGGTTTAGGGGTCGTAATAATTTGAATAGGGTTTGGGGTATAGTCTACTATAATTATAGTAAGGCTATATGAACCATTGCATCTCTGCCAACCTCATACGAACAGAGCGACACATGGGAAATACGACGGCGCTTTCATGCATGCGACGTGTTACAACGCCCCGCGCTAATGCTGAATCCCACCAAATTATCAGGATTGTGGGAAATGCAGCCTACTCCTTTCGGAACTTCCGCGGCAGCCGCTGTCTTTCACTTCATCTGCTGGATGCCGCCAAGCCGCTTGGGCTGCGCTGCCTGCTCCTCAACCCCTCACTCGTCTGCGCACGCTGCTCCTTCGGATTTATGCTTTGTCCGATCCGGCATGAGGAAGAACTGCAAACAACTGCAGTTTATCAACGACCATGATGATGCTGGCTTGTCCGGTGTGCGCAAGTTGTCGAAGAACACATGATTGAGATGTGTAGCAGTAACAGACGGGACATGCCTGGTGACAGGGAGTGCACATCCGCGTCGGGTCTTGAACGATTTTGCGCTTGCGTGCTCCGGCAAGCTACATACGTGAGACCCCTCCTCTCCCTGACCCTAAACCGCAATGAAGCCCTGAACCCTGGGCCCCAAACCTAAGCCCAGCAGCAGGGTCGATCCCCCTGCGGCTGTGCTCCTCAAGCCCTATGGCCCCTAAACCCAAACCCCAAACTGCCCAAACCCCACATACCCCCGTCTTTACCAAAACTTGTCCTCTTCGATCTCCGATGGGGCCTCGGCGACAGTGGGTTGAGGCTTGCGGGGAGAGTTTCGAGTTGCTCCAGGTTCTGAATGGAGGACAGCAGCAACGGTACGAAAGGTAAAGAATGCTAAACCGTCATCCCAGAAACCCTAAATTCCTGAAACCCCTGAAATCCTGAGACTCTTCCAAGTCCTATGGCTCCAAAGCAATATTGGCATAGCCTCAGATCCCGAACCCTCGAAAGCTCTCAACACCTTCCAGTCGTAAACCCCAAGACACAACACCCTAAGCCCCAGAAACCTCTGGAAGCCTGAACTTCTCAATCCAATATGGTGAACTCCAAAACAACACACTTCACAACACACTTCTAACCCTTTGAAACCTCGTTTCGTAACCCCCAAAGGTCGGAGTCGGAAAGTAACGTAGGAGGATGGAACATCAGCATAAGGTTTGGGTTTGCTTGTGGTGTATTTCTACAGTGGCAATAAGGGGATACAAGTGCCAAGTCCATCATGGAGCAATGAATCCCAAAATCTGAACTCTTCCATCCTTGTGCCCCTGGTAGAAACTCAACAAGCCCTTAGACACAACCCCGAAATCAAAAAAGACTTGGAGGTCCTAAACTTAGACCCCAAGTCACTAAGAGCATAAAGCCCGAAGAGAGAGAGAGAGAGAGCCCCGAATAGATGGGTCGGAATGAGAAGCAATGATGTCCTCTTACAGTCCGTCACTAGTTTAGAATGTATCCCTGCCCCAAACCGTGTCGAATTCTTCGACTTAGAAAGCGAAGTCTTTGAAGTTCTCAGGACCCGGCTCGACTGTGGCTGCAGGCTCCTTCGCTGAAGACACTGTGCTTTCGTGGCCTGTCACAAGTCTGCAGGCATGCGACAAGAGGTGCCGAGACTACGGATTCGTTCAGGTTCGCGCTTCTGTCTTACGAAAGGATTTTGGGCTTCGGGGTTTAGGACCCGACTGAAGATGCATGATTCACATTCCCAGACAATAAAAGAAATCGGTGTCCTGCACGAGTGTGCTGTACACTCGGGTCGTGAGTATGCCTAGAAGCTGGGCACTAGTGCAGAAACCGTGACATCCATCTACAAACCCGAACCTGCCACTCCCACACATCGCATGCCACTTTGGCCACCGGCCTGCGTGAGCTGCAAAGGCAGACCTGCGTCCGAAACCGGCGGTTTGCACAGTCTACGGGTCTCGTGGTGATGCTGCGGAGCGTGACTGTAGGACTGTAAGGCCTTCAACCCCAAACCTATAGGCCCAATCGCTGATCGAGCCATGACCTCATGAGCTTTAGAGCGCGCCGGCCTCGGCCACAGACGTGCAGGTGTCGGTCAGCAGACCCTGCATCAGAAAGGGCTTCTTTCAGGGCCTCAATTCGATATAAGCGTTTCTGATTCTCTAAGAGGCTTATAAGTCATACAAGCCCCTAAGGTTTTGAATATATCCTGGCTTTGTAAAGCTTTAGGAGCTGAGGGTTTGGGTTGTTGGGGTTTTGACGAGAAGTCATGCCGCAGGGATGTGGCGGCTTGGCTCGATCGACTTGTGCAGTGATCGGAGAGCGGCGAGGAATCCCTCTCAAACACCCGGAACACCAGATTGCACAACGCTTGCCATGCAACCTGACGAAACCCTAGCGTCTGTCCATGGCTTTGCAAAAGTTACAGGTTCAGGCTTGTTCAGGTAAAACTTGACAGTGACTCATGCTAGGATCTACAATTCACAATCATCAGAATACCCGATAGCGGCTAGCGGTTGTAATTTCTCCTGGCAGTCAAGAGTCAGCAGCAACACAAACGACGTTAGTAGTTTTACCAAGAGGAAACCATGTCGATTGAGAATTCCGCAGGTTTCCAGCGGGCGAACCTCTCTGTCACAGAAGCACACGACCGTGGTGGAGTTCAGGGTGTGCCTAGGACTCAAGACTGCAGCTCATCGGGCCCATCTAGAACCAAATCGCACCGAACAGCGAATCGGTTCCAAGAGCTGGTCGATAAGACTAATATAGGGGCCTTAATAATTAGAATAGGGCTTTTGGGGGGTCTACTATACTATATAATTATAATAAGGCTTTAATAAGGAACCCCCCGAAAAATAGTATAGGTAGTTGGGGGGTCTGCTATACTATATAGTTATAATAAGGAAC